ATATATAGCCATGGTCGATGACCTTTGATCCTACAAAAGTCGAAGTCGAAGTGAAAATACTAAAACGCGTTCCTTTTTTTTTTGGACTATAAAGCTGAAACAACTGAGCTCTTCACACATGCTTGCCAAATGGACGAGGTACTTGTGTGCAAAGTTCCTTTTTGAACAAATGTATTCTTTGCGAGTTATGCCCCAGCCCAAAAATGTGATAATAAATAAATAATAAATAATTTGACCCTGATGGGCCACGCCCACCTCAATTTATTTGCCATAGGTTACGTCATATTCAAAATGTCTAGTTGTGTCCCAAGCTTCTACATCATATAGGTCATAAGATATACATTCGCTCATCTCAAGGAAGGGGGAATATTGAAAACACACTTAGATTTTAAAAAATCACGAATTTCAAGTTTGTATAAAAAAAACTATTGTTATATATCACTGGAAAGAGCATCAAGAGCACATTAAGAATCTGAAAAATAAAAGAAGTTTAACAAAAGTCAAAAATTGCAAAAACTCGGCCGAAGAAAGTGCAAAACAAATTTTCGATTTTTAAGTGTTATCATATCAGATATTGCCAGTAGATTCCAAAATTGAAAACCCGAAAAAAATCCAACATTCTGGAACCGATTTTCTACTTTTTGCACATGTTGATCTGTACCACTTCCGGTTTTGCAAAAATATTCTACTTTAAATTCATTAACTAAGTCCTAACTGTAGAAGGTCAAGAAAAGTTGAATAATTGCTGCAACTATTGCAGTCTAAGCTGTGTGCCCTGTGTAAATCTCGAATAAAAAATTTGACAATATGATAACAAACTGGGAACTGGGAAATGAGTCCCACAATGATAATGTAAAGTTATATGAAAATGCACCAAAAAATACTTACGCTAATTACATGCAGAAAACTGATTTACATTTTCTGGCCATCATGTTATTTAATAATTAGCGCGTGCTCAACCTACAGGCTACCATTCGTGGCCACTTTAAGCAAAGTATGCTTGAATCACCTTCGAACCACAGAAAACTGCTGCAATCAGTTTGATATTATAATTTGATTTGTGTAAATGTTAAAAACCAGTACATGCAAAACAATTCTAAAATCTCGTCTGTACCCTATAACTAAAAATCACGAGATATCACTTAATCAATTCATGTTTGACAAAACAATTCTACCACCATGCAAGAAGCAGTGTGGTCTTAGTTTACAAGGAGTTGTGCCAAAAGATATCTAATGTCTGTAAAATTATGAAGTCAAAATATGATGGTCAGTTTTTGAATTTTTCTCATTATTCTTATGAGAATTAGAATATCAGACTCAAAATAGTACCGTCAGTCTTAGAATTTCTTTGCGTTGATAAAAAAACAATTAAGAGCATGAGCACACATAATGTCTTCAACATTTGTTTTTACAACGGTCAATGTTTAGCCAAAATTTGTGACTTCTAGAGGAAAATTTTCATTGTAAACTTACAAAAGATTATATTTTAATCAACGCAAATACATTCTAAGACTATCAACACTAGTTTGAGGCTGATATTCCAATTCTCTTGATACATATCGAAAAAATTCAAAAAACTTTTTGATTTGCTCAAACAATAGCTTTTATACTTTTTAATTTTCAATTCTTTGGAACGGTAAAAATCAAGAAAATAATTGTTCAAATAACTACTCTGAAGTCCGGCAGTATCTAAAATAATATTTACAATAGTTGCCTCCCTTGAACTGTTATTGTTATATATTCTAGAATGAAATATTAAACTAAGGGAGATAACTAGTCAATTGAATCTACCGTTGAAAGATGGAAATAAAATGAAATGATTAAAATAGCCACATTTTGGGCATTCAATGTCCGGTATGATTCAATTCTGTAAAACTGCGGTTGATTTTGAGAGCTTCACGAATTATTTTGTCTTTGCTTTCGGGTAAATTTGTGTTATGAATGGATTTTAGAAATGAAATGAAATGAATGGAGTTTTACGTCCTATTTTTCTGCACCATGTAGGCTAATGAAGACGGGCAACGGCATGCGGGGTTCAATGAGGGAACTTTTCCATGTCAAACCATCTTACCTGCATCACTGACAGGGAGAAACCGGGCTGAAAAAACCGAAGGTATTATCTCGACCTATGCCGGGATTGTTTTATGTTTTAAATGATACTCAGTTTTAGTATATGTATTAGAGCTTGTTTTGTATGGTGTACTTGAAATAAAAATTTGTATAATACGAATGAAATAATAATTTAACAAACTTAATTAGCAAAAAACCAAAAAATATATCAAACTTATTAAGAAAACAAAACAAAACAAAAACTAAATAGAATTGTAACATAATAAATTCATCAAACTTTGTAAAGAAAACAAAACAGAAACTAAATAGAATTATAACATAAGCTTAATTGAGAAAACCACGCGTGGTACTGAGTTGAATTTACGTTCCAATTTGCAAGGGAATCTAAAAAAAAATAACCTTCTGGGCTAAAGCTATCAAAAGTCACAAACGTCTTTTGTGGAAGGTTGTGTATCAGCAGATTGCAAAGGTCAATGATCTTTATCTCCTTATCAGTCATCAAACTTTAAAAATGCATACAGGCATAAAACCGGAAGTTGACATCGGACATCAAGTATGAAAGTATTCTAAGATATCTCTGATTAATGGCCTTTGACCCTGAAACGGTTAAGGTCAACAAAGGCCTAGGACAAAAATTGTAATTATGAAAAACCTGTTACTATTTTTTAAACTAAAAAGCAGAAACAACTGTGATTTTAAGAAAACCTGGACAAAGCAAAGGAATCCGTATGCAAAGTGCTTTTTCGAACAAAGTTATACCTTGATGCATCTATTAGCTATAAAAAAAAGTAATTCTAACATCCTAATAGGTTATGGGTTTCAGACCACCAAATGGATCTTTTAGAAATATCAGCGACTTGTACAATTTCTCAATAGGTATGGCTTGGCATATACGGTGCTACTGAAAGTATAACAAATGGATTAATTTAGAACATGAAGAACTTGCGACTGACGAGAATTCAATTTCTCTGTAGGTTCTTGAATTTGTGCAGTTCGCGCATATAATCTGCCAAACAGAGCTTTGAGACACTTGCCAATCAATCTACAGCACACCAACAAACTTAATTAGCAAAAAAACAAAAAATATAACAAACTTTATTAAGAAAACAAAACAAAAACTAAATAGAATTATAACACTAGAGCCACACGTGGCACAGAGTGGGACTTTGCAAATGTAGCAAATTGCAAAAGACCCTGAACAAATCAACCTCGAAGATACTTAGATCAAGTGCACGAACAGTCTAAAGTTGGGAAATTTTCATTTTTTAGAAGATTCTAATACCGGAAGTAGACTTCAGACCTCACAAATGAAAGTATCAGCAGATAGCCAAGGTCAATGACCTTTGATCTCGTAGAGGAGAAGGTCTAAAAAGGTCAAGATCAAGAGATATACGTCATCAAAATTTCTAATTGCACACGACTATAAAACCGGAAGTTGACATAGGACGGCAAATATAAAAGTATAAATAGATAGCCAATGGCAATGACGTTTGATCCTACAAAGGTCAAGGTCAACAAAGGTCAAGGTCAAAAATTGAAAATTTTGAATTTCCAAAACCTGTTCCTTCTTTTGAACTATGAAGCAGAAACAACCGAACTTTTAAGACAAAGTGGTTCAAAACATGAGATGATTGTATGTAAAGTTCCATTTTGAACAAACGTATACTTTGCGAGTTATGCTCCTGGCCAAAAATATCAATAATGAGTAATATAACCCGGATGTGGCACGCCCACCTTAATTTTTTTTGCATAGGGTAATTGATATTCCAAATGTTACGTCGTGTTCCAAATTTCAAGCTTCTACATTATTCAGGTCAAAAGATATTGGTCACCAAATGTCAACAAAGGTCAATCGAAAAATGAAAATATCCAAATGTTAAAACCCGTTCCTTTTTTGGAACTATAAAGCTGAAACAACTGATGTTAACACAAACTGGCCAAAAGGATGAGGTAATTGTGTGCAAAGTCGCTTTTTTAACAAACGTATCCTATGCGAGTTATGCCCCAGCCCCAAAATGTAGACAATTAGTAATTCAACCCGGATGTGCCACGCCCACCCCAATTTTTGGGTCATAGGTGAATTCATATTCAAAGTGTCTAGTTGTATTCTAAATATCAAGGTTCTACATGAAATAGATCATAAGATATACATACACCAAGGTCAAAAAGACGCAAATATGGTAAAAAAAACCCTCAAATTTGAAAAAATCACGAATTTCAATTTTGCTTTAAAAAAGCAATTGTTCTATATCTATGTAAAGTGCATGAGAAGCACATTAGGAAACCGAAAAAATTAACCCTCTAGGTTAATTAGGTCACGTGCTAGAGCAGTCCAAAGTTGCGAATTTGGCTTTTTATAGTAGTGTATGTCTTTTCGAATATGACGCATTTCACTTCTGCGCATGCGAATCTTTTTCAATGCGTCATATCCGATAAGACACAACTGCTAAAATGTATTTTAACAGACTCCCCAAACTGCTAAAATGTATTATAACAGACTCCTCAAACTGTTAAAAAAATGTATTATAACAGATTCCTCCAAACTGTATTATAACAGACTCCATATAAATTACCCAAACCACGGACAAGAATCACTATAATAATACAGTATAAAATAACCGCATTAAAAAAATAAAAATGTCTTTAATTTTAAAACACGAACAAAAAAAATTCGAAGGAGACGGTTTCTTCTCTGCGCTAACATCTCTCATCCCCATAGTGGCCAATTTTGTCTCAAACAACAAATCCCTCATTTCCTCAGAAGCGCAAGCTCTTGGTTCTGTGGCAAAAGCAGGAGTTAATATTAGCGATGCAGTGAAAAAATCTGACGAACTTAAAGAACTGCAGCTAATAAGAGATCTAAGAAACAAGAGACTAGAAAGACAAGCCCTAGAAAAACAAGGAATAGGGTTTAAAATCATTGGATAAAAATGGCAAGCAAAAATTACAGATTGGATCCAATCTTTCAATTGTATGATCCGATTCAATATTCGTTCAACAAGAAGAAAGAGGATTACGTAATCATCTCACCATCGGTAGGTACAAAGACCCAAATAAACGACGGGGGAAGAGTTACCTTTGAAATTAATTCGTTGTCCAATTGGTTGCTGCTTTCCGATGCCCATATCCGATGCGATTTCAAGATCAAAGACGCCACTCAGAATCGAATTCCACAAACCAACACGACTTTAGAAAACAACTTCTTTCCGTCTTTATTCAGCGAAATGGTTTTGGAAGCTGGTTCAAATCCGATAGAGACCATAAAACACCCCGGCGAGTTTGACACAATGTTGAAAACGGTTCTGTATCCCAAAAACTACGATTCAGTTTCTGGATGGATTCCCGATGTCGGTGACGGAGAAGTTTTAAAAGATCCGGTCAGAACTGTAGCAAATGACGCAGACCTTGCTAGGATAAGGGTAGTTGCTAGAAACACACTGGAAAGAGTGACTCGCGGAGTAAATCACGGATTTGAAAAACGAACGCTTCAATACAACAATGTTGTCGAGGTTTCCATAGGTTTGCCGTATAAAATTCATTTGCAAAGAGAAATCAACGACAACAAAATATTCTTTGGTGAAAACAACTCTGACGCAAAATTGGAAATAACGAATATCCAACTTTACATAATGGTAATCACTCCTTCCGTAGAAGTGGAAACGAGAATATTCAACTCTTTAACCAAAGACATCGAAATTGCTTTTCTTCATCGTAACACGGTAGGTAGCATGACTTTAACGGGAGAATCCACCACGTGGCCAATCACCAACACCGTCAAACCAGTGAGATATCTAATGGTCGGTTTCAAAAACTTGCCAGACTCTCAGACAAACAACAACAACATTTTCAGAGTGGCATTGAACCATACTCAAGATCCCATCATTCGCAAAGTTCAAGTCAGATTGAACAACGATAATTATCCCAATCAACCTTTGACAATTGATCCTTCCAAAAAAGATTACAACGAATTGTACAGAAACTATAAAAACATGTGCGAATTGTTTTGAAATACGCCTCAGTTTGAATACACAGATTTTTCACTCAATCATCCAATCTTTTGTTTCGATCTGTCAGCTCATCAAGAAGATCTTTTCAAAACAGGGGTAAACATAAATATTCACATATTAGATGTAACCGGCTACTGTTTATTGCTGGAAGAAGCAAAACATTTGATCAAAATATCAGATAGAAGAATGATAAGAATTGAATAAAAAAACACCCTTTAAAAATGAAACCAGAAACTTTAGTTATGAAAATAATAGAAGCTATGGAAACAAATTCGCCGACTCTAATAACTTACAACGGTAAAAAAGTGCATATAACCCAAAAGATTATCGATAAATACAAACATTGCAAAGTCAGAGACGACTGATGAGAATTTAACTAAAAAAGGTGGATTTTTACCTTTATTACTTTTAATCTTTTCTGGTTTAGTTGCAGCTGGTGCAACTGCTGGTGGAGCTGCTGGGATAGCCGAAGCTGTCAACTCAAATAAAGCAGCTGCAGTAAAAGCAGCTGAAGAACGTAGACACAATTTGGCAATGGAAAGAGAAGCACGAGGGGGTTCGGGAGTAGGAGATATTTTAGGGACGGTCAAAGAATTCGGACAAAGATTTGGCGAAGAAACCAAGAAAACCGTTAAAGAGGGATTAAGCAAATTAATAGATAACATCTACACCGGAGAAATGAAGGTCAAACACAAGGGCAACGCCATATTTTTTAAAAACATACGTTCGGGCGAGGGAATCTTTCTTTCAAAGTATAAAGGCAACGGGGTGATTTTTGGTACGAAAATGTAATAAATAAAAATGGGCAAGAAATTCAAACATTCGGACATATTTCCTAGCAACCCCATGCTCATGTGCATTTGCGGATCTTCGGGATGTGGAAAGACTTATCTCACTTTTAAAATGTTGACAACACTGAACCTTTTAGATTTCGAGTCTCTGTATATTTACACGACTACTCCCGAACAATCCTATTATCAGTTTCTCAAAGCTTTGGAATACATCTCGAAAGAAGAAGTTCAAGACATTTTTCACTACTACGAAAGCAACGAAGACTTGCAAGAGAACGCGGAAATTTAGACGGTTTTATCAAAGAAAAGAATCCTTCTCTGAAACCGACCGACGTCAAAGTGTTTCTGACTAAAAACGTCAACGATTTAGACTTGTCTAAAATCGACAACCACCGAAAGAACTTGATTGTCTTTGACGACTGCGTGGCACAAAAAAGTCAAACCGTTCAACAAGAATTCTTCACGAAAGGAAGACATCACAACTGTCACTGCATATACCAATCCCAATCTTTCTACGGAATGGACGCCATGTTTATTAGAAAGAACGCAAATTGTTTTTTATTATTCGAATTGAACGACAAAGATTTATCTCAAATCATTCAGTCGATAAATCACGGAATGGAACATTTAAAAAAGAATGTAAAGCTCAATGGAGAAACCCGGATGATCATGGATATGTATTCGTACTATACTAGAAAACCCGCGGGTGAAAGAGTTATGATCGACATATGTTAATTTTATTTTTTTTAAAATGACTGATTGGAATAATATTTTAAAAAGAAATAGAGAATATATCAAAGCTAAGAATAAAATAAATACCCAAGTTGAAAATAACAGATTACAACAACTCGGATTAACGGAAAATCTACAGACTCTATTTCAACCCATATTAAAAAGTCAAGAAGATATTAAAAAGAAATTAGCTTTAGAACCCACGCCTCGTATAGAACCCACACCTCATCACCCCAAAGTGATTGAATATAGTGGTGTTATAATTAGGACAGTAGATGATGTAAAACATTATTTTTCAAACCCTGACCCAGATTTATCAAAGAGCATTTCACCAATCATTGATGAAGCGGGTTTGTTGTTCAATGGTTTTAGAATAAGATTTAGTGGAAATTCACCACAATTCAAAATCGATACAAAAGATTACATATACACATTAACGAGAGGATTAATAGATTTAATGAATGGCGAGGACGTTGAAATTGCCGATTACAAGGATTTAGTAGCATACTCAAAATTTCTACATGCGATCAGAAAGACAGGACCTGAAACAAGAAGATTGAGAGAAGTTGATTTATATATAACAAAAGTTATTGAGCGAGATGAATAGGAGGTAGATGATTATGCAGAAGATTATCCAATCATACAAGAAATAGACGAAATCGATGATATGGTGGCATCTGGACAAGGTATAACTTTTTTATCCGACAACAACGAGGAACTAGTTAATAGATTACGAGTAATATTAGCGGCCATGAAGGAAGGTCATCGATCGGACAGACAATACAACGAAGTCAATGGCATATTAAAACGACTTTTGGAGAAAAAAAATCATCACTAAAAAAGACTATATAAACGTCATTAAAAATGTCCAATAAAGAGCAATTGTTCGTTATCACCTCGAATAAATCAGACATCAAATTGTCTCTAGACTACGAGTATGAACTCGATCGCAATAAACAGTACGAACTGGGATTAAAGTATTTCTCCGTTTACAATTCCATTAGAAACATCAACGAAAAAAACAATCAACTAAAAAATCGACGGATAACGGAGTTACGTTCAAAACCATAAGCTTACTACCGGGAAGCTACGAATACGTAGCCATCAACGATTACCTATCCGAATACGCAGGAAGCGTGAGCGGTAAAAACAATATCGAATTCGAAGGTAATTTGAATCTGAACAAAAGAAAACTGATCTTGAGAAATAACAGTCAAGTCGATTTCAACGTAGAAAATTCGTTGAATGCGTTACTAGGGTTCGATAAACGAATATACGCGCAATCGACATTGGCGCCACACAAGGCCAACATCGAGAACGACATCGACGTGATCAACATTCACTGTAATTTGATCAACGGTGGATTTTTCAACAAGCTCAAACGCCAAATCATATACAGCATACCGACTTTTACGGTGCCGATCGGATACAGAATTATAGAGAAACTATTTACCAGTCAATTCTTTCATGATCAAAGATATAAATCTGGAAATCAAAGACGGTTAAAACAGGTTCATAGACTTTGGCAACGAAGAAATTGTCATTCAACTAAATGTAAAACAATCTTCATTCTCTTCTTGATTAGAAAGATAATCGAAATCATCACATTCATAGTTTTCATCAAAACTATACTCATCTTTGTCGTTGTAAGGATACATAATTCCTTCACTTTTTGTTGGTTTTCTTTTAACATTAATCAAATAACTTCTAAAAACTTTAGTTTGTTTATCATTTGGAATAACTACTCCATTGGTGAAACTTCTTTCCCATGGTTTCTTAAATTCGTTTGACACATCATGTCCGGTTGCTAACTGAACGTAATCTTCTACACTTATCTTATCATTAGAATAACCTTTAAACGTTTTCTTTTCTTTTAAAACACCATCAGAAGTCAAAACGATGTTGTATTTGACTTTTGGTGCTAAATATAAACCAAATATAATTCCACCGTCACCGTAATCGTTTTTACCTTTGCAATAGTCTTTTTCGGAGACCAAACCAGCTCTGTTTAGTTTTTTCCAATTGTTGGATGAAATGTACAAACTATCGGTGTCGGTATAGTATATTTCGGGTTTATAAAATCCATTTATGACGTGAATGAAATTGTTCATTATTTTTTTACTGTGAGATAAAACGAATGATCCCAAATGACTAGGTGTTAGTCGTGTAGATTTACTATCTTCAGTAGTAATCTCTTTTTCTTCAATTTCTGTTTCAACAACATATTGAGTATCATTAATTTTCTCATAGGTTTTAACACGTGAATCAAAGTTGGCCTGTAAAGTTGCTTCATTCCATAAATGTCTAGTTGTGAATATATCTTTCTGAATTGATTTACCATACAAGGAATTACCTAATAATTTCATGCAATTACTACCCACGATATTACCTTCTCGTTTATATTTATTTCTTAGATCTCTCAAAATTAAAATATAATCTCTATAGGGTGGAGTTTTAAAATTTTCTTCGTAAACTATAGCATCTAATATTCTAATAATTCGTCCACTATTTCTTGAATATCGACCGCTGTTAATACGTCGTGACAGAAACCATTTCTGAACCTGATTTTAGTGCCAGTTTCCTTTTTACCTTCTTCGTGAAAGTGATTTTATCTTTAGCTGGTATCGGTTGGAAGAACATGTTTTTTGGATAGTCAAACCACACTGTTAAAATAGCTGTTCTAGGTCTGAATTTTTGTTTATTGAAGAGTTTTACAAATTCTTTTTCTTCTTCTGGTAGAAACGGTCTTCCACTTTCCGCTCTCGGATATTCACTGTCTAAATCCGACATGGCGGAAGCGTATAAACCGTTAGCATCAAATGCCATTAGTTTAGTACATTCTATTTTTTTTAAGTCTCGAATGAACCTCCGTTTTGTCTTTTGCGCTTGCGCTGTATTCTTTGAATAAATCAATTATGTTATTACTTTCAAGTTCTGTATATTCCTTTAATACGTTACAAATTTCATCCATTTTGTTCGTTTCAAATGATTTTCTAATTGCCGAAACTCTTCCTCCTTTAATAGATCGTCTGATAAAATTTCTTATAAAAGGATTAGTGTGCGAATAAACTTTTTGTATATTTTCTTTTTCGTTATGTTTCGCAACCATTCTAGTAGTTTCATACCATTCTTCTTCAAACATTTCTTTATCGTAATGATATAAATAATACCAACCCTTTAAAGATAAAGATGGAGCCGTTAGATTATTGGACATATTTTGGTTTACAACTTCTTTCATGACTTGGTTGTATTTCATCAAACAAGCTCCCAAACGGAGAGTGTCTCTCTTGGCGTAAGGTTCCCATTCGTGTCTCAATTCCTCCCAGTTGTCTTGCGTGTATTTAGCGATATCTACGTCGGCAATCTTTCTCAAATTCGCGGGAAGATTGGAAGAATTTCCCCATGCAGCCAAACTAGAGGATTCGTGTTGGTAGGAACACGTGAAATTAATATGTTGTAAATAATTACCCTTTATTTCTTTCTGTCTTTTCCATTTTTTCTGTAAATCTTCATCTGTGTATGGATTAGATAAACGAAAAGATAGAATTCCTATGGGTGTTTTTAAAGGGCAATGCGTTAGTTTTTTTGCATTTTTAAGCACGATCCAGTTGTCGAAACCACTGCCGTTATGAGAAATTAATATTAATCTGTTTCTATCATATTGACCTAAATATTTCAACATTTGATCTATACAATCTGTACCTACAAATATTTCTACTACATTCATTAGTTTATCATAAATTCTTCTGGAACATTATCAGTAAGGAAGATATCTTTTATCATTTCTAACTTTTTTCTTTGTTTTTCTAAATTAATTAAAGTGCAGGCATAAGGAATTGCTCTTCGCGTGTCTTTTTCTGAATACGTTTCGCAATCCCAAGCGAATAACGCATCATCACTCATACTTGAAAGCACGTTTAGTTTGAGAGGTGAAACCTGTGTTACTGCGTTATCGTCTCTACACGTTTTCCACAACTGTTCGTAATTGTCTTCTATTTCTTGAATTCCCAAACTTTTTTGGCTTCTTCTAATCAAACAGAAATGCGAGTTGTGTAAGTAAAAAACCCAATCTAATTCATCATATAAGTCTCTGGGATGAAAATGTCTGTTTTTGGGATTATAAATTTGAAACGAAGTGTTAAATTTCTTGTTGAATTCCTTCATTCTAGCACAAGTCATCACTCCTTTTCTATTTGCTATTGAAAACCCGTTGATGTATTCTTAAAAATTTACACGTTAAATCTTTGTTCAAAACACGATTGACGCATTTGATAAAACAGTGACCATCTGTAGGTATGTAACAATTTTCGCCTTCGTATTCATTTATCTTTTTAAGTAGATCAGTTCCTCCTCTACCAACTCTCGATCTTTTTATTTCTTGGAAATTGTCTTTCATTAAAATTATTTTTCCTGTAAAATACTAATCGGAAGCATCAGATTTTTTGTCCATATTTGAAAAGATATTGTGAAAAGTTTTGGCATTGAAACCGAGGAGTGACATGTATTGTCTGTGATTGCCTTCCTCGACTATTTCTCCATCTATTTTAATTTGTCCTTTGAATGTTTTAAATTTATCAGAGATAGCCTTGATAACATAGGAAAATAGGGCGTTTTCTATCAATGTTTCATCGTGTTCGATTTTATTCATATTTTTTTAAGTATATATTTTTGATTATTTCTTTATTTTGACCGCTGATATTTCTGTATTGAATTCTTCTAATTCTTCAACTGTTATGTTCTTGTCTTCTCTCGATCTTTCGAAAAAGATATACGATTGATTAAGATACATATTCAAGATATCCGTTTTCTTTTTATAATGAGCTTTCTTTTTGCTTGTGAAACCTAAAGTGATGAGGCCGCAAGAGGCCGTTTGAACGACTGTTAATGCAGCCAATACGGTTGGGACGATGACCGGAAACATTAATCTACCAGTCGTTGGCCGTTGCCACCGTTACTCCTACCGTTAGAACTGTTCTCGCTGTTTTGAAAACAGAATCGATTCTACTCCATGTTTTCCTGCATGAATTGTACTGTCTTAACTTTATTTTCAACTCTTCTTGTTTGTCTATCATGTATTGTTGTCTGCTTTCGAGTTCCATTTTTTAAGTTGTTAAATTAAGTGAATTTCCGATTAATAGAACCACGGAATATCAAATAGAGAGAAGTCGTTTGGCCTAGCATTATTATTAAATTTTCGAGTATTAAAAGTAAAAACATTTACGCGTACTAACGACATTTCTTTTTTCGTATGGTCCTCGTTAAGATGATAGGAATATTTTCTTTTTCCATGTTTATCTTGGCTTTAAATATATAACCACCAGCAACAAGGATGGAGTCGGAACCTTCGACAAACGTTAAATGTACTATAAACTCTCGTTCTTGTTGACTTTTATGAACATCGATCGAGGTGTATTTGTCACCTAAAGCGAAATACAGTTTTACGTATTCAAAGTCTGTTGTTCGTAAAAACTCGTGACTGCTCGATTCTATTGATCCGTGTTTGTGTAAGCGTCGTGGAATTTTGTCAATGTTGGTTGATGGTGGATTTTCCGTCTCCAATATCGTATCTAAATCCATGATTCCAATGATATCCTTATCATTTTCTACTTCCATTTCAAAGGTGTTTACATATTTACCATTTTTCGTTTCAATTTCCTGATCCCTTTTATCAATCAAACGTATATTCTCTTCCAAATTACCATCATTGAATAATGAAATATGTTTGACGACCTTACCGGTTTGTTTGAAGACTACTTTATTGACTTTAACCTTCATGGGAAACTCTATTTGAATCAGACAATTACCTCGAAAAGTAAACGCTTCCGTTTCGCCGATATCGAATACGTTTTTAGGTTCTCCGTATACGAGAGAACCCACTTTTATTTCTACTTTGAATCCGTATTTGTTTGATTTATAAATTTGGTCTTTTTCATCGAAGAAAGTGTCACTTTCGAATGGAAGATTGAAATAATACGATTTGTCCGTGACAATAGCTTCTAATTTGGTCAACTTTCTCTCTTGTCTCAAAAAATCGTCACGAATTCTAGATACCAAAAGATTGACCTGTTCTTTAATATAATTTTTCATATCATCTCGAAATTTATTTTGAAGAAAGTTTTTAATCACACCCACTTCTTTTTCTAATTCGTCCGTGATTTTAGTACCCAAAGCAGTCAATTGTCGTTTCAACGCATCTTTGTTAATGGGATGTGCGAGATTGTTAATTATATTTTGAACATCTGATTTTTGCTTCGCGAACTTTTCGTTCAATTTCGATATTGAATTTTGTAACTCAGTTTTGTCCGCGGTCTTGTCTAGTTCTGCTAGCAATTCGCCATGTTTTCTTTCCAAAGCGGTTAGTTTTTGTTTCAATCTATCCTCGTTTACATTTGGGTTATGTATTAAACGTTGAACGTCTATTTTTACCTTCGTAATCTTATCGTCTAATTTAGATATTAAATTTTGCAACTGACTTGTTTTATCCAATTGAATAAGACGTTTCAAACTCGTTAACTTTTGTTGTAGTTTGGGTTCGTCCACAAGATTTTTAATATTTCGTCTGAGGTATCTTTTCACGTCAGTTATTCTATTTTCAACATGGTCCTTATCTATTTGAATTTGATCCAGTATATTTCTTGTTCACGGCATCGTTATCGTTTCCTGGAAACTTTAAATTAGTTATTTTGAAATTGTTCATATCGATATCCCCTTGTAAGGTGTCTCCGATTTGATCCACGAAAAAAGGTTTCGCTTTGTTTATAAACGCCGTTATGGGATTTTTAGATTCTAGAGGTAAAGACCCTAATCCAAACTTGTTTGCCATTTTTATTGAGTTAAATTTATTATAATTTCTTCAAACTTTTCTCCCAAACTCAACCGATATAAAACCCAAAGCGACAGCTGTCCACACAGCTTTTGTCCTGGCATTTGAATTTGAAACGTAGAACATTTGATTGGTTTGTTAGTCAATTTCGTTATCTCTTCTGTCGGTTCTAAACCGAAAGAATCAAAGAAATAAAAATTATTCGAAGAATCTTTGTGTAGAGCAGAGTGATGAACTCCTTTTTGATCCGACGTGTGAATGTTTGTGATGGCGTAAAATTTACCTTTCTTGTATTTCAGTTCATCAATTTCATCTCGCATGCAATAATAAAACGGCGATACGTTCAATTCCTTGGCCAATTTCACAAGTTGAAAATTTGTGGTCGTGTCTTTTCCGTATTTATCGAGAAATGCATTCATTTTTTAAGTTGATTTTTTTAGGTGTTTTTCGAAGTAGGCGGTAAGTATTGCTGAAGACCCAATTGACGAAATATATACGTAATTTGTGTTTGAAAAAACGTGTATAACATTCTGATAAAACACATTCAATAATATTTTGAAGATAAATTTACATTTAAATTTAAAAAATCTTAATTTAAGAGAGCGTAAATGCTTGTCGACATCTAAATTTCTTAACCTTTCATCAAAATCTTCATTTTCGAGATTCATTTTTAAAAGTCAGTTTTTTGAAGTTCATTTTGATAAAACCTTCCTATGATTTGTTCTTTGTCTTGATCGATCAATTCATACGTGGGAGGTGATGTGCAGTTTACTTTATCAACGATGAATATCTCGTTAGTCCAATACCCGACGTAACCTTTCTGAAACAATGATTTATATTTAAAATACGAACTCGATCTCCAACTTTGAATTTGGGTTTAATATTCAAATTGCTAATCTCGTTTTCAAAGTTGTTTCGAGTGTTGACGGACTTTATGATATTCGGGTTATTAGAGGCTTGCGTTGGCGTCACACCTATAGACGAATGTATTTTGTTATTGTATTCGTCGACAACAACTGGTATTATTTTAAGCCATTTTTGAGATTTCAATTCCGTGAATTTCTTGAATAATTTGCCTTTAAGAGTCCTGTTGAATCTTTCTATCACTACGGCCTTACCTTCGTTATGCGTGCTGTAAATTTCAAACCCCCAGAGATTTCACATTTCTATTGTAGAATTCGCTTCCTTTATCAACCCACAACTTTAGGGGTCGTCTGTCGGATTGTTTCATTATGGTTTCGAATGCTTGTTTGACAGTCAGACCCGATTTGTTTTTCAAGGGAAAGACCCAAGCGTATCATCGTTATCAAAAACTTTGACTTTGAGGTAATGTTTGTTTTTTCGAAATTCTTCATAATCTCGTCTGCTATGCCCATACCCAATTTCAATTTTGCCTTCAAGAGTTTTATGATAAGAGCCCTTTGTAATTTCTCTTTGAAAGTGGGATAGGGAATATTTTCGAGTTCGTCTATCATTTGTTTGTCTGCTTGGTGTCTGAATGTTATGTCTTTGTTTCTGTATGTCGTGTCGTGTTTGAGCGCAGCTGCGTCAACTCTATTAACGGGTTCTTCCCCTGGTTTGGGATTATCATTTTCATCCAATCGTAGATCTAATCTCGTGCTTGGACCTGTATAATTGTGCCCTGGGAGATGTTTTTCTCCGGGATATTTTGCCCATGGGAATCCAGGAAGAGAACCCAATGACTTTTGAATGTCTCCCGCACCGAAATACGTTTTAGGAGGATGGACATTTATTAAAGACATATTTGTCCAATAATGAAATAAACACCATATATTTTTAATACGAAAGATTTAATACCAGGAGAAAATTATTCAAGCCATAGAAATGAATCATTAGATCTTTTCACTGCATCGCTTATATCTACTCCTGAGGAAATTTGTTGTTTGAGACAAAATTGGCCACTTTGGGGATGAGAGATGTTAGCCAGAGAAGAAACCGTCTCCTTCGAATTTTTTTTGTTCGCGTTTTAAAATTAAAGACATTTTTATTTTTTTAATGCGGTTATTTTATACTGTATTATTATAGTGATTCTTGTCTGTGGTTTGGGTAATTTATATGGAGTCTGTTATAATACAGTTTGGAGGAATCTGTTATAATACATTTTTTTAACAGTTTGAGGAGTCTGTTATAATACATTTTAGCAGTATGGGGAGTCTGTTATAATACATTTTAACAGTTGTGTCTTTTCGGATATGACGCATTGAAAAAGCTGCGCATGCGCAGAAGTGAAATGCGTCATATCCGAAAAGACATATACTACTTTTTATGGATAGCTATAAAACCGGAAGTACATGTCGGAGGTCAAAGGTCAAAGTATCAAATGATAGCCAAGGTCAATGAACTTTGACCCTATGAAGGTCAAGGTCATGAAAGGTCAAGGTCACAAGAAATAAGCTTTCAAACTTTGAAAAAATTCAACCGGAAGTTCCGAAAATGCAAAAGCAAAATTCAAAAATCGGCTCGCAACGTTTTGTGAACATTAGCAGAATACATCGACACCAAATTTATGCAGATTTAGTTTATCCCTAAGGACTTATTTCGAAAATTAGAAAATCAAGATGGCGGCCAAAGTATCACTTCCGGTCTGGATTTTATATTCTTCGTTTTTTTGTATTAGCATTTACTTACGATCAGCATAAATTTCGTTGACCTAATTCAATTACACCGGAAGTTATTCGACCGGAAGTGGATTGTACTTTCAATTGATTCCCCGTTTAAAACCGAAAGTAAAGTTAAATATTTGACAACTACATATTATTTACTTTGGTGATGCCCCTTTGCATCTTAAATTTCAGATCAATCGATGCAAAAACAAAAAAGTTGCAAAAAAATTGCAAAATTCAATCGAAAAAAGTTTGCGACAAATTTTCGAATTTCGTAATTTTTCAAGTGTTATCTGATCAGAAATTACAGCCAGATTTTAAAAATGAAAACTCGAAGAAAATCGATGCAAAAAATGCGCCTTCTAGAGCCAATTTACGAGTTTTTGCATATGTTGCACTGTGGCACTTACGGTTTTGCAAAAATGTTCCAATTCATATTCATTAACAACGTTGCCACTGCAGAAGGTTTACACATGTAGAAATGTTGATGTAGCTATTGAAGCCTAGGCTGTGTGCTCTGTGGAAATTTCGAAAAAAAAAAAAAAAAAAAAAGAATTGACAATTTGCGAAAGCAAAGTCCCACAATAAGCTTAATTGAGAAAACCACGCGTAGTACTGAGTTGAATTTAAGTTCCAATTTGCAAGAGGATCTAAAAAATATTAACCTTCTGGGCTTAAATCACGTGCTAAAGCAATCAAAAGTCACAAACGTCTTTTGTGTATCAGCAGATTGCAAAGGTCAATGATCTTTATCTCCTTATCAGTCATCAAACTACTATTTTTAAAACTAAACAGCAGAAACAACTGTGATTTTAAGAAAACCTGGTCAAAGCACAGGAATCCGTATGCAAAGTGCTTTTTCGAACAAATCTTTTCTGTAAAAGTTATACATCGACCGATTACTATAACCATCTGTTGTTTGACTTGCACCCAAAGTGTGTAAAATTCTAGATGGAATTCTAATTGTCACAGCTTTTTTTAAACTGCCAATAGTCTTTTCAACTACCCATATCACTTCTTAAATCACAATCAATGCCCTGACAGTTACGCCTGGAAGTGACGACAGTCTCAATTTGCGTAGAAATTATTTGTTGATTTGTAGAAGGAAATGACGTAAGATTATGAAATTATGAAAAATGATATAAATAGCTGAAATCAATCTGCTTCAAGTGGTAAATTGTAATATAAAATCAGAGTTTTCCAACTTTGTTATATAGAGTTGTTGCCCTTATTGAATCTTTTTACTTTGTATATAAAGTTATTGTCCTTTTTATACGCCAACATGAAAAGAATGAACACTATTAAAATCGAAAAATATTTAGTATGAATTATTGCCCTTGTTCTTGAAATACTGGTGAAATGATTTTGATGAAACTTGGGGTGAGTGTTTGTTTTTACCCAAGGATAAACCCTAATGAAAATCAGAAAAATCGAAAAATAATTAGTATTAATTATTGCTCTTGTTCCTGAAAACGCGTTCAATTTGAGCTTGCTAACACTCTAGAAGGCACAATTCTTGGCGGATCTAGATGAAATTTGGTATGAGTGTAATCCCCCAAGGATGAACCCCATTGAAAATAGGAAAATCGAAAAATAATAAGTATGATTATTGTCCTTTTTCTTGAAAACGCGTTCAAATTTTAGCGTGTAAACACTTTTGAAGGCACAAGTCTTGGCGGATTTTGACGAAAGTTTGTGTGAGGTGTGTAATCACCCAAGGATAAACCCTATTGAAACAATCTATTCACTTGTGAAAACTTGCCCCTCACGCATTCTGTCCATAAAGCAACCCTCTTGTGTGAATAGATTGTTGATTTATGAAACTCATCGCAAATCTGATCTATTCCCAACTGAAATTAAAAATAAAACTCAATTCGCTTCATCAGTGACTTGTCTAGAAAACTTACCAGAAACTTATCCCAGGAAACACTATTTCCTACACTTTTGCTAAATGAACTTGGGTTTTCACTGGCTTGTATGGGAAGTTTTTCCATATTAAGTTGCTCTTTCAACATGGCATCCTGGTGAACAACACTGACTAAATCATTTCTATTCATATCTTTTAAAACTGATACAATTTGTGTCAAACATGGATGTTTATGATGTTCGTACCATAAGTTCATGAATTTACATAATCGTGTTTCTATTTGTGGGTTATTTATATTTAACTGTTCCCATTTAGCGGTTGCGTTGAATTCTGGGGTTCCTAGAAAATAAACAACAATTAAAAAAAGTACCCACCACCCCTCTTCTGTTCAATAATATCGGGAGACGCGGTGACTCAGTTGGTTAAACGCTTGCTCACTAAGGGTTCAATCCTGGCATAGGTGGAGATTACACCTTCGGATTTTTCAACCAAGTTTTCCCCTGTCAGTGATGCAGAGCTGAAGGGGTTGACATGAAAAAATCGTCTCGTCGTTTAAATGGGACAATAAACCCTAGTGCTACAGGTAGTGCACGTAAAAGATACCTCGACAGTTTAAGATCAAAACGGATTATCCAGGCAAGGCTTTTCCTCATTGCCCGTCTTTATTAGACCATAAGGAACAGGAATGTAGGATGTGAAACTACATTCACTTCTATTTTTGTAGCAAAATAAGAATAGTTAAAACATATTTCATATAAGTGTAGAAACACAACTGACAACACTAATATGAAGATTGTATATCAATTATTACTAATCATGTAAAATATGTTAATGATCTGGTTTTAAATGTTGTCAGTAATAACAACAGAGAATGATTTTATAAATTGAAATTCTTACCTAAATTGGCGACAAAAAGATCAATCTGGTTCAGATTATGTACCAATATCTTCCGAATTATATTCATCCATTTGGGCTTCAAACTCGGAATATCATGCGCCTCTGAAAAAACAACTGAAGCTTGTTTGAAGAATAAAATACAATATTTCTGCATATCAAATTAAATTTATTTCACTTCCTAGGTCACACCCACACGTCTCAATTTACAACGCAATATTTTCTTCATTAATTTTATTAGTAGGGGATTTACCTCTCGGCACAATGAAATACCTTAAAACTAAATGAGGTTATTAGTCATTAATGACGAGAATACCGTCTTCTGAAACGTCGTACACTGTTGATAAATGATCACTCACCAACTTGTACAGGAAACCTACCTTCATCATTACCTACATTCTTTTCAATTTCCTTACGAAGTTGTTCTGTAAGATTGACATCGTGTTGTATAATATTGACTAGATCATTTCTATTCATATCTTGTAAAGCTGATACAATTTGTGTTAGACTTGGATCTTTAGTCTGTTCGTACCATAAGTTCATGAACTTGGTGAATCGTGTTTCGATATCTTTGTTGTCTAGCTGTTCCCATTTAGCGGTTGCGTTGAATTCTGGGGTTTCTACAAGATAAACAACAATTCAAATAGTATCCCAAACTCCATTTCTATTTCCATTTGCATCAACGTTCCTGTAGCGAATGTGTAAATCGTTGAAAACGATACATTGCGAACAGTATTTTGAGTTTGAACCAACGAAGGGGAAGTTTAAAGGCTGACGTTCGAGTCATATAAGTGCGGAAACACTATCGACAACACTGATGAAGATTGAATAATAATCGTTGTTATGTTAAATAGGATTAAGATCGGCTTTACATACAGAGAAAAATATTGATATGAATAGAAACTCTGATTCTTACCTAAATAGGTGACAAAAACATCAATCTGGTTCAGATTATTTACCAATATCTTACGGATTTTATTCATCCATTTGGGCTTCAAGTTCGCCATTTTTGAAACAATTACTAAAATCTTATCTTGCTAAACTGTAAGAAAATGGAAAATTGTTTGGGTGTTTTTGTATCATTATTATTGTTATTATTATTTTATTTTATTATAAAAGTATGGAAAATTGCTCCGTAAATACCATTATAATAATTACGACGTTTATAGGGCAATTCAGAAAGTATCGACGTAACACTACCAACATAGTTTAATTCAGATGAATTTAATACCGTAACATTACCACAACAGGGTTATTCAGACAGTAAAAAAGTAAAATAACCATTTTGAAAGTAACGACAAAACAGTACCAACATAGAGTATTGCAGATGAAAGATTACCACTATAGGGTCATTCAGATGAAAGATTACCACTATAGGGTCATTCAGATGAAAGATTACCACTATAGGGTCATTCAGATGAAAGTAAAAGGGACACAAAATATCACCACAACATTACAACCATAGGACCCTTCAGAAATATCGCAGTAACATAACCACCATGGGATCATTCCAGCATATCAAGAAGTTTCAGCTTAGGATACATAACCATAATTTAAATCTCACGTGTATAATAAGCGTATTCACATAATAACTTAGTTCCCTTATACTAGGTTCCCACTGTCATGCGTAGCCGAGTGTGAAATTTTTCAAGGTTTGTGATGCCTCAATAAGTTCTGATGCGATTTGTTGCCTTGTATGCGATCTGTTCACGATACCAATTATATGCCCTTCTTGACTGCTCCCATACGGTATTAGATTCTGTTGATGATTTTATATACGATATGAGGTGTCGACTGACATAAAGAATTACTGTACCTTGTTTCTTACTATTTCACTATAAAGTATTATAAACAGGTGATGACAACCAATCACACTAACTAATTTTACTTCTCGAATTAGACACCTTTTATATAACTATTATAAGATATGATTTACGTCTATTTATATTGGCAACCTATTGAAGATTTGGTCATTAAATAAAAGTCTCTATTTACTTGTGAATAAAAGATAGAACTATTCCGATTTCTAAACGGGTCACCCAATATAGTAAAAATGTTACTGTGAATGTAAGTGAATGTGCTACAACGTGTTTAGAAATGATTTGAACAATGAAAGCTACATTAAAAAGGGTTCTATTTTAACTACACATGACATGATAAAGAAAATAAGAAGAATAGAAAGATATATGGAAATGCACACAATATATTTTGCTAATAAGGTGCAGAAAAGGAACACATGAAAAAAGTAAGCTTGAATCCCCTTCGAAACACAGAAAAGTGTTACAATCAGTTTGAGAATAAAGTTGATCCGTTCGGATCGTTGTACCAATTGAAGCAAATTTTTTTTAAACAGGTGTCTAATGTCTGTAATACTATGAGGTCAAAAGATAATGGTCTACCTACAGCTTTGATTTATTTTACTTTTACTTTTCACTATTTTCTACAGTTATTTTTCCTTTTGAAATATTTTTTATAAAAAAAACCTTCAGTATATAATTAGTTGGATTCATCTTCATTGGAAATTTTCATTCACAAATCGGTGATCGACATTGAAATCTAATATTGTAATTTTAATAACAATAGTGAAATGAGTGTTAAGAATTTCAATGCATGTACAAGCTCAAACAAGAAATATTTTCACCTTCATTTTATTTACTTCCTGAAATTGAAAACTTCGATTTACTTGCTTTCAAGGTATGAATTTTCAGTTTTTCTTTCAGTAACTCGATTATGATTTTACTATTATTGTAGACAAATGTTTCAGGCAACTGACAAACTAACAATCTGATTAATAAAATAACATTAATATTGACGAATCAACAAATATTGGCTTAAATTCTGTAACCTTATTTCTGAACATGCTTTAACAACTTCACAAAATATTCAACCAAATTAGAATCTTACAATTGGTGTCTATCCGCATACTTAGATGTTTCTATGACACGTAATTAGAAAATAGAGGTTTGTCCTCTTTGTGGAAAATGCCAAGCTAATATTGAGTTCAGAACTTATGTGGGGAATACTGAATAATAATGACTATAAAAAAAAGCCTAAGTGAAAGCCTACACAAATATAACTGGACAGTCCGCCATATTGAACATCTTCTTATGCATAGGAATACAATCATTTCTATGCATTTTACGCCTATTTTTGTTTATATATAGAGGCTTTATCTTTGTCTTACCAGTAACATATTTAGGCATGAAAACGCCATTTTTCTTTTATTATCTCATTATTTTAGAATTTTTCTATATTCTTAGGTTAGAATGACGATGTTTTTGTTGGCTTTCCTCTTACCGTTTACTTTTCAAATATTCCAAGTTGAAGGGGTAGGTATTCAAATTTAGACAAAACTTTCGTTCCGTTCTTTGTTAGCTTTTATTTTTTAATAAAGACCCTTCTTTAACCTATCGCACATGGCTAATTCAACAATGTCCAGTGTCGGTGGACTTAATGATCTAATCTAATGCCCGCGAAAGACAACATTTGTTCGATACACAAAATCCAAGCTCTGGAGAGGGACGGAATTTGATTGGCTGAAATGAAATGGGGGCGTATATTGTCGTCATCCATGTCTGTCGATCCGTTCCAAATTGTTTGTAAACACTCTAGAAAGCACAATTCTTAACTGATTTTGAAGAAACTTGGTATGATTGTTTTTTTATCACCCAAAAATAAACCCTATTGATAATCGGAAAATCGAAAACTGTTAAGTATGAGTTATTGCCCTTACTCTTGAAATACTTGTTAACACTGTAGAAGGTGCAATTCTTGGCGGATTTTGACGAAACTTGGTGTGAGCGTTTTTAACTCGTCAACACTCTAAAAGGTACGATTCTACCGAATTTTGATAGAATTTGGAAATATTATTCAGTATCGCTCCAAAAAATTCAAAGAAGTGTATGACTGAAGGTTGGATATTTTATACTGGTAATTGTTACTGTACTGCTAAGTGGGCGTATATTTACCGGCAAGCCATATTATTTAGTTTATTTGATATATTTTCAGATAGAAGATACGTTTTATTATCATAATAATATCCAATGTATCAAGTGTAAACGAGGACAAAAAATATCAAATCATTGTACCAGTCCAGGGGGCTATTCGGAGTGTGTTCCTTGTGAGGAGGGTACATATGCTTTTAGACTCAGTTCTTCAACATCATGTGGAAAGTGTAAAGACTGCAGCCATACCGACCAAATAATAAAGAAGAACTGTACACCAGAAAGGGATACCGAATGCCAATGTCCTGATAAGAAATATTATGATCTAGAATTGTGTAAGTCTTGTGAACCACCTCGTATTAAAAAGGGTAAGTTATATGTTCCTGTTCTTAGCAAAGTCACTTAAAATCAGCACAATTAATTTTAATATGAGTAATTACCCTTGTTTTTGAAAACGCGTTCAATGTTTAGTCCAGAAGGCACAATTCCTGATGGATTTGACTTGATCAAATTATTTACTATTACCCACTGATGCATCCGATCGAAAACCAAAAAGTCATTTAATACGAGTTATTTCCCTTGTTCTTGAAAACGCTTCAATTTTTAGCTCGTAAACACTTAAAAGCACTATTTTTGGCGGATTTTGAAAAACCTCGGTTATGGTCATTATCACCCAAAAGGGTTCGAAAGAAGTGTATGACTGAAGGGTGAATATGTAATACTGGTGATTGTTACTGCAGACCTACTGCCAAATATTTTTTATTCAAAATCAATGCTGCCATTGGCCGAGCCATCTTTCGAATACTCAGAGTAAACATTTTCACAAGGTGGCGCAAGGTATAAAATAATTTCTCCACTGAAACTAGTTTGAATGATATTATTATTTTAGTTCGGGATGAAAAAGAGTATTGTGAGGAATGTGACCATGGTACTTACTTTAATAATACTGTAAAAAATTGTGTTAAATGTGATCCTTGTACGGGAGATCAAGTAACCCATGTTTGTAATGCAACTCATAATACATGTATACAACTATCCACCACAACAGGTAACATGAAAGGTCATTCCTCTTTGTATGTAAAAAGTTTTCTTTACCAAAAACGTCGTAAATTATACCTGAAAATATTTCTAAAGTTTGCTATTTATATCTATGTATCTTTTTGATCAAACTGAATTTGTTTTAAAAGGGTTAATCAAAAACTGAGAGTACTAATTATACAGATTGTAAATATTTTTGGCGTTTAAAAAATTAACGGCTAGATTATGTTTTTTAAACTCTTAGATACGTTAAAGGACACATTTCTCTAGATTTTGTTGTATAGGTTTCACAATATTTGAGCAAACAATATTTCGACCCACAAAAAAGCTCGAGGATATATTGTCACGTTAATTAAGCTTTCTAACAATGGCTTTATTTTAGTTGTCAACCTAAAACATTTCGAAATATGCATTATTGATTTCAGGTGATTTTGATATTCATATGGACTCTTGATTAAGTTCTAATTTACTTAGCGAAAAAAATTCGAACAAATGCATAATGCACGTTTTCACAGCTTGAAATAAATATATCAAATAATGTGCATTTTCAAACTTTTGTTAAAAAAAATACTATTAATTAGAAGAGATGGTAGGTTTATTACATTAAACATTACATAAATATTATGTAACATGTCAGGTTAGCAGTTCATATGCCAGCGCATACAGTCAATCCGTGCTCTCGACAGAAAGACTGTAAGGTTTACAGCCTTTGTCGAGGGCAATCCAATCAAATCACTGCATTTACTAACTTCAGTGATACACGAAAAGTGGCTTTTGTAGTCAGGGTATAAGCCGAAGTTCTTTACAGCTTGACATTGTGAAGATGGTTTCATGTATATCTGAAGGAACTATGAGATTTAGATGTATTCAAGCCGCATATCCACCAATGAATTTGCCACCTGTAGGATTTTAAAATATTATAATTATTGATAAATCCATGAACGATGGACAATCCAAAATAAAATAATATTCCTCCTAAAACATCTCTGCAAACTGACATCTCATGTCGTATTATAAAGTATTTCACTGTAATGTTAATGCCAATTCATAATGTCACCTCATTTATCATTACTCGTTACATTCGTTTACCAACAGTGGAATCTTGTTAAAACGCTAAGAGACAAAATGTTTGTTACTTGTAGTAGATGTTATCAAATAATTTCATCCAGAAATTAAACTTATGATTTTACTTTCAGGTTCAAGGTTCATTTTCGCTCCATTTTTGGCCTATCTATTTGGCCTGTTGCCCCTTATGTAATGTAATTACCTCTATTACAAGTTTAAACAAATATAATAACCTTTTCCAGCTGGTCTTAGTGGTCTTGAAATGGCACTCACCGTAATAGTGATAGGTTTAGTAATTGTTATAGCCTTGTTAGTTATACTCTACTGTTTGAAAGAAAAGAAAAAGTGTTGTTTTAGAAGTGAGTTTTACAACATTTAGAACTATTTTCTCATTGCCTACTGTAATGAAACCAGTATTAGTAGATTGAATTATTGATATTAGGGGAATATTAAAACATTAGTAGTAAATAAACAATCATAATAAAAAATCAAGCGTTGAAATTGTGCATGTCTATATAAAAACACGAGATTTATGCCTTTTTATACGCCTTCAATAGGGATGTGGACGTATATTGCCATCGTCCCTGTCCAACCATCCGTTTACATTTCTTGTTCACATTTCTTGTAAACACATAGTGACGACTACAGTTTTTATCCGATCTTAATGAAACTTGTATCGGTATGCATGTATATATTGATAAGATCTTGGTCAATTACGAATTGAATGAAGATTTTTTTGGTAATATCCATTGACCGTGTTAAAATGCAGTTCGTGTAAATTTGATGATTACTTATTATATATTTTTTAAAATTTAAGACATCTCAAAAGATTTTGTGGAAAAATATTAATGAAGCATCAATGTTCGGGGTTCGTAAGTGACGGAGTTGACGGAGTCTCTTTGTTAATCAGTCAGTTATCAAATTATTGGTTTTATTAACAGGCTTCAATCTTTACTTAATACTCAATCAAACTCGTAAAAACTAAAAAAATATTGAATAAAAGTCTTTAGCTTAGTAAATAGACACTGAATAACTCTAAATTCTATAAATCTATAAATGCGGAAAAATTGGCGAGGACAGGTGGACAGGTTCGGATTATTCCAAATTTCTTGCAAAACGTTATTAATTGATAATATAACAATATAAGATATGCAATATAGACTAACTGGAGGTGCAAACATAACATATTATACACAAATAAGGACCAAATATATTACCTTTTTCCCGATTAATGGAACTTTACAACAAAATCAATTCTTTTCCTTGAAATTTAGACCATGCCCATCCATACTTGTTTTCTTGTGCCAAATTAAGCCTAATGCGCTATTAACTGCTCATTTCTGATAGCTGCCAGTGGGCGTATGTTACCTTGCCTGGCAAACCAATTTTTTTTGTAGAAATCGAGAAATCGGCCAATCGATGTGATAACGACATGGAAGCAAGTACACCTCTAACGAATGTCAACGTAATAGAATCACCCCCGTCCGAATCATCACGTAATATCTTTAATATTCAAAAGCCATATGAAGTGCCGTAACTCTCCCTGATAATCACAGCGACACATAGCGCTCTATTCCTATCAGGTCTAATCTAATCTCTAATCAGCGGATAGGTGAGCTTGAGCGAGTGGCCAACAGGGATGAGCTTCGTCAGGCATGCTGCGCTGAAGGAGTAGAAGTGTACTTGGAATGTCATTTTGGAAACTTGATACATATCACTCCCAAGTGAAATAATTGCAAGAAGGTCAGAGACCCAGAAAATATCATTGATACATAACATGGTATAGCGGGATATTTAAGAGGAAAAAATGTCATTCTCGGTTTCTATCTGGAATTTTGAAGCGCAACAAAAAAGGTCTTATGGGCATATATATAGGACACATTTAATATAATTTTCTTATCGTTTAACACAATGAGAACCTGACAACTTTTTTTCTCAGAGAATGAAGATATATTGAGTTCGAAGCCAGAGTGGCTAAAAAGAATCCGTAAGATATTGATAAAACATCTGGACAAGATTGATCTTTTTGTTGAACATTTAGGTAAGAATATTTATGGAATATGTTCAAACTCAAAATATCTTTCACCATTTATCATTTCCACGATTGAAAAAGTCGTTTCATTGTTACAGAAACTTTGATGCATATAGAATTTGTAGGACATAAAGATATTTTTTTGCAGTGGGTGGATAATATTTGAATTGTTGTTTATCTTGTAGTAACCCAAGAATTCAACGCAACCGCTAAATGGGCACAGTTAGATAACAAAGATATCGAAACACGATTCTCCAAGTTCATGAACTTATGGTACGAACAGACTAAAGATCCAAGTCTAACACAAATATTATCAGCTTTAGAAGAAATAGATAAAAATGACTTAATCAAAACAATTCAGAACAATGACAATCTTAAAGAACAACTTGTTAATGAAGAAACTGAGAGACAAAATGTTTCCTGTGATATGAACAACATAGATGAAGGTAAGAAATTTTCTTATACAATTAGTCAGAGACGATGTTTATTGTTGTTAATTACAAATTACGAGATAATAAAAAAAATTTTCCACGAAGCGAAGTGACTTCCTGGACAACAAAAAAAGCACCCGATAAAAAACGTTTTATTCTCAATAGTCAATAGAGATGGGTCAGATTTGAGAGGAACTTTATAGATGTTCTAAATCCTACATCCAATACTTAGTTCATCTGAAAGGTTTTCAATACAATACCGTGGTATTTTGTCAAGTATATGATAATTTCCACAACTACCAAGTAACCTAAAATATTACATTTGCGTACCATAATTTTACGAAAATGGTAGACCTGCCTTAAATGGTTTTTTTTCTTATACGCCGACGTGAGATAGGGCGATAATATGCCTTGTGAAATTATTTTCAAATAAGTTATCACGAAGCAAGATATTTTCATTGATATTTTTGTGTGTGTGGTTGTTACAAATCACTATTTTGAAGGATGAAGTGTACATTATGATTATGAAAGCACTTTCATGTTGGATGAATACATTAAGAGTAGCTATGTTATACTATTAGCCAATTCAAGGACACACAGAAAACTTCAACACCCTTAAAGGCGTAAGACCATTAGATATAGACTTTTCAAATTTCACTGCGTATATGTAGAATAATAGCTAAGGATATTTGTATAATATAAGATTTGGTAATTAAGACCTATTTTGCTTTCAGTGCAGTGACTCCTGTGCTTCCATTCCAAGATGTGGCTCTTATCCCAGAAAACACTGATCAATAACAGGAATAGGGAATCCACCTCCATAACCCTTTATGCTACGTTTACAATACGTACCCAGCCGCCACGGCAGGAAACTGAACGCTCTATGTCTTGTAATTCAACCAATCAACCTTTTTTCGTTTATGGCAGCAGTTAAGCTAAATAAAGGGATCGTAAAGAGTTTTTTTTTTTTTAAATATATGTGGATCGGGGACACTAAAGCCTGCGGCAGACGAGAGGAACTAGCTGAGCTGCCTGCCTTAAGAGGTTGGGAGCTGATCTGTTTCCCCCGTGCGCGTTGTATTTTTTAGTGAGATTTCTGCCTCGAGAGACTATGAAGAAAATACCTATCGTGTTTACTATTTTCTGTCTCAAAAGGCCAGAAATTCACCGTGTGCGGGCGTCTAAGCTGCCAGCTGAGCTAGAAAAATTAGCTAACCAATAATCAATTTGTACCTGGACCTGGATAACCTTTAGTGTTCTGTGTAGGACTGTTCATTTAAAATATTTTTAAAAACAAAGCTTGCTTTTGTTTGCCAATTTGTGAGGTCATGTAGCAGCGCCTACCCATTTTTCATCATCAATATGTTGTTTTGAATTTGTTGATTTTCAAAATGTGTTATTAAAACACTTGTTTTTTTGTTGTTTTTTTTTTTGTTGATTGAGCAAATAGAAATATTATTCCATGTGTTTTGATAGAACATTTTATCGTCCCATTTACTACATTCGAGGTTTTTTTTTTATAAATATGTCTTGATTTACGTTACATTGGTGTTTTTTTTTAATTTGTTTTCTTTATGTATTATGTATCATTATAAACGGTTCGTTTAAAGTGTAGTTTTGAATTTTGTATTGTTAGGATACAGTTATATTGAACGCTGTTCTGTAGATATTCTTTTTGTTAAGACTTATTTTGGATTTTTGTAGCTTAGTAAAATAATTAGTTTGAATTATTGAATAATGAAATTGCACAATGCCATAGGGCTTGAACTCATTTTTATGAAGGCCGAATTTTTCAAGGAGGTTGTTAATTTATTATCATTTCTATCATAAATACATTAGAAAATATCTCATACTTTTTGTGATTCACTGCAAGAAATGAAAAGATGCTCTACGCTTTCTATTCGTGCACAATATAATCACAAAGTGTTGAATTGTTTATACAGCTTATCCTTTGTAAGATTAATCCAAAGTAAAAATTCATATTAAACATTGCTTTTTTTCATATTACAGCAAACATTGTTTTTTATATTATATATAGATTTAAAATCTCCTGCTGATAGTTCGGTTTCTAGGAATTTCTCCCATTTTTGTATTCCTTTAGGTTTACAATTATACATGTACTTCGATTCTAATCCATGTTTATATAAATTAAATAGATTGTCTTAAGAATTGGTTTTTTGTTTTAGTGGTATGATTTTAAGGTAGGCCTGTATGAGATATCGTTTAATATCGATGTTATGCCTAAAAAATAAGATTATCGGTTTCAGTTGTGCTGTTAAGTAATACGTCATTTTGAGCTGACAATTTCTCTAGTTGAAGAAGATATTCTAGATCAAGAATACTATCACGTATTTAAACATTATTTATTATTACATGGAGTTATGTAACATCAACATTATTACATCTCAACTGTAATACTTGTCTTTAATATGTTATAGACGAGTGTAACACTACAGGTCTTCAAACCTCTTGCAAAACGATAAAAATGAATAATGTTAATTTGTGAAAGTATATTAGTAGAATTGTAACTTGAAGAAAATAAATTTGTCAAATTATAAAATTTTAAATGAATATTGGTAATTTTGAGATTGATTTGTAAATGTTCATTACAAGTTCAATGGTCAATTTGTCAAAATGTAGAATTGTATAAGTTCGGTGATGAAATGACGATGTGTGAAATGTAGATGTTAATTTGTCAGTTTGGATCGAGAGTAGTACTAAAGCTTTCAATTAGGTCGCATAAGGGGATTCCCCATTCCATTTCATTTCATGGGGAAAATGCTACCAAAATGAAAGCTCCCATAAGACCTAAGACCTAAACATCCTACATTTCATAAATTCTTACAGCAAAAGCTAACACATTCTAAATTCCCTACATTTCATAAATTCCCTACATTTCATAAATTCCCTACATTTCATACACCAAAAACACCTTCAATCAATTTCCTACATTCCATCAAAAAAGCATATTAAAAATACCCTTATATAAAATAACATCTGGTTAAATAATGTAGGTGGGAGATAACTCTTTTTGGATTAAAAACAGACTAAATTAACTCATTTAAAAATTGGATGAGTTTAATTCTAAAACACGAACAACACAGATTCGAAGATTATTCGGGCGACGGTATCTTTTCTTCATTATTTTCTCCTGGTAAAACAATAATTCCAAAAGTAGCTAGCTTTGTTTCAAAAAATAAATCACTCATTTCAAGCGGAGCGAACAGGCGAAGAACCAGTCAATAGAGTTGACGCCGCTGCGCTTAGACATGATATTTTATACAGAAACAAAGACATAAAGTTTAGACACGAAGCAGACAAACAAATGATAATCGAACTTGAAAATATTCCAAATCCAACTTTCAAAGAGAGAATGGAAAGAGCATTAATCATTAAACTGTTAAAAGCAAAGATGAAATTAGGTATGGGATTGGCGGATGAAATTCATAAAGAATTTAGAAAAACTAAAAACTTTTTAAAAGTCAAAGTGTTTGAAAAAGATGAAAAATGGTCAGCCGATTTAATTCATATGCCAGTCGAAAGAGGATTTAAATATTGCTTAACAGTTATAGATTTATATACGAGATATGTATGGGTTATTCCTCTCAAAAACAAAACGGGATTATCAGTCAAACACTCATTTGAAACGATTATGAAACAATCTAACCGTCATCCAGAAAAACTGTGGGTAGATAAAGGAAGTGAATTTTATAACAAAAATATGAAATCTCTAGGTTTTGAAATTTACAGTACGCATAACGAAGGTAAAGCTGTAGTTATTGCAAGATTTAACAGGACTCTAAAAAATAAATAATTCAAAAAGTTCACGGAATTGAAATCCCAAAAATGGCTTAAAATATTACCAGAGGTTGTAGATGAATACAATAACAAAATTCATTCATCTATAGGTGTCACACCAACACAAGCCTCGAGTAATCCAAATATTATAAAGTCAATTAACGCGCAACACAACTGCGAAAATGAAATAAAGAATTTAAATATCAAACCCAAATTTGAAGTCGGAGATCGAGTTCGTATTTTCAAATATAAAGGTAAATTCGAAAAAGGTTACGTTGGATACTGGACGAACGAAATATTCATCGTTGATAAAGTAAACACCACATCACCTCCGACATATGAATTAATCGATCAAGACAAAGAACAAATCATAGGTAGGTTTTATCAAAATGAACTTCAAAAAACCGACTTTTAAAAATGAATGATGAAGAATTTGATAGAAGATTAAGAGATGTAGACAAGCATTTACGCTTTAAATTTTTTGAATTTAAATGCAAATTTATGCTCAAAATATTATTGAATGTAATACAATTTTTTCAAACACAAACTACGTATATATATATTTCAAAAAAACCGACTTTTAAAAATGAATGAATTTCTCAATAAATATGGAACCGATACAACCACAAACTTTCAACTTATGAGATGGGTGAATGAGTTAAATATATCACCGTTTTATTATTGTATGAGAGATGAAATAAATGATCTGAAATATAAGAAAGGTAAATTTTACGCTATAACAAATATACATACTTCCGATCAAAAAGGAGTTCATTCTGCTTTGTACAAAGACTCTGACTTTTATTTCTTCGATTCTTATGGATTAGAACCCACTGAAGAGATAATACAATTGACTAATAAACCAATCAAATGTTCGACATTTCAAATTCAATTACCGGGACAAAAGTTTTGTGGTCAGCTTTCACTTTGGGTTTTATATCAGTTGAGTTTAGGAAAACAATTCGAAGAAATTGTAATAAATCTAACTCAATAAAAATGGCGAATAAGTTTGGATTAGGTTCTTTATCTTTAGAAACTAAAAAACCTAACACTACAGCGTGGATAAATAAAGCGAAACCTTACTTTGTGGATCAAATCGGAGACACTCTTCAAGGTGATTTAGATATGAACAATTTTAGCATAACTAATTTAAAGTCTCCGGAAAACGATAATGACGCCGTTCACAAGAAATATTTACGGGACAAATA